TTTAGCGTTGGACAAAGGCCCAACTAATGTATTCTTTATACCACCGGTTTGCTTCTGATGGTAAAACACAATAGTTCTCAACAATCCAATAATGTCAATGTCAGGAGAAGGAACAATCCCTGAACATGATTTTCAGTTACCATCTCAAATCAGGATTATGTTGATGATGACTACTGTTTGCCAAGCTTGCCACTTTGATCTGATTGTGGATAGATTACCAAACAGAAGTGTAGTTTTGGCATAGCTACCCCTCACATCTGCTCCTAACATGACAGAAGACTTGTGGCCACATGTGCTAACTATACAAAGAGGGAAATCGAGAACGAGCTGTAAGGAGTATCAGATTTGTGACTTCGGATATAAAAAGAATTTAACAGTTCTTCATTGTTGCTGAATCAGCCTCAGGGCAAGTACATTACACTTGGTGGCTTCCAATGATAGCTGTTTAGTAGAAAAGGAGTAGAAATAAGTATAGTTAGTTAGCCACTGCTTTCACCCCATTTCAACAACTAATCAATGTCAACTAAACCCAGCACAAGATTTCATTGCAAATAATGCAACAGTCTACTTCTATACCTCAAATTACTCAAGTACAGCCACTACAACTTGCCCAGAATAATTTTTTTTAAAAAATTAAGAAACCCACAATTTCTCTATCTTCATTACTCTTTTTGATTATTCTTTATAAATTCCCAACATTGGCATTTTCTTCTGTCATCTAATGCACCTTTCTGCTTGCATTTTTTGTACCATACCTCACTTATTGCAATTCAGATTAAGTGTTACTTTTGGGAGGTGGGTTGGAGGCAACTGGGAATGGAAGGAATCAGTTCTGTCTTCTTCCTTTCTACGCATTCTATGCCATGCACCATTCACAATGAAAATGTCTAATTTTAGAACAAAAAAGAACTAATAATTGCCAAAGAAGTTGACAGACGAGAACACTGTTGTAGAAGATAATGATATTTGGAAAAAGCTAAGCCAGGGCTTGGAAAAGTCGAAAAATTGGTGGAGGAGCACTAGAGATACTAGTTCCTGAGTTAAGGTGTGGGAAATAGGAGAACAGAGATGGCAATGAGTAATAATTTCATAATATTGATTTTGTAGAAAATCGAAAGGGTACATAACAAGTATGTTGAACTTTTCAGGAACAAGGGAAAACTGAAGAGAACTTTATTGAGTACTGTCCAGAATGTCAGAAAAGTCTCCTGGATATATTCAAATATATAGCTTTAGCAAGTTAAACATTTAGTCACCAAAGAGCTGTATGTACTCTTTGGAAGCAGTGAAAATTTTTAGATGTTTAATGTTGATGAATGAAGAGCTAAATGTTAAACAGGTAAATACTGATCTGTATAAAATGTCAGAAAATAAAGGCATTATTAGTTAGCAACTGTAACAAGAGAACTGATGAATATGTAGAGTCCACTTCAACAAAAAAGTTGGACTGCGTATGAAGGAGGTTAATGTTGTGCAACAGGAAGGAAATCTCTTGAAAGTGAAATGAAGTTCACAGACTGATTTGTTTGGATTTACATGAACACCCTCTCTGAATTAATGGGTTGGAATAACTAAACCCAGATTAAATCAGACTTTTCAAAACACAGATAGTTACTTGGTTCTCATTTTAGTGCTCAATGATAATAGAAACCTAGGGTATAGGCTAACAATTGAAAAGGCCAAAGACCAACTAGAGTAAAAAAAATTTACTAGGGAAGGGCCAGCTAGAAAGACTGTCAGGCAAAACTGTAATTGAACAATGGACAGTTCTCTGAAGAAGAGACAGTTCAAGTACAGTTGACATACATCCCCACAAAAGAGGAAAGGTAGGGAAGCTAAAGCCAGAGGACTTGGGTGACAAGAATGATAGATACTGATAATAAACAGAGAGAAAAAGGACACATGTCATAATAATAAGCAAGAACCAGGCTGAATATAGAAAGAAAAGAAAAATAACAGCAAAGAGAAAGTATGAGAAAAGGCTAGTAACTGACGTAAAAAGGAACAATTATGAAAGGGGTGCAGAAGAGGGTGTAAAGAGGAATAGGATTGATTAGGGACTAAAGATGGAATTGATAGAGAGATAGAAAGCATGACTGAGGAAATACATGATTACTTTGCATTCATCTTTAGCAAAGATGATATTGCCAAAGTCATAGTGAAACAGGAGACAGTTGAGACAAAGGACTGCTTTAAAAACTGATAAAGTAGTATTAGAATGTCTGCTATACTTAAATCTACTTTAAGTCACCAGAATCAAATTAGATGGGGATAAAGGGTGAAAATTGTGGAGTTACTGGATTCAACCTTCCAATCCTTGTTAAATGTAGGTGATGCCAGAAGACTGGAAAACTGCAAATGTCAGAGTCCTATTCAAAAAAAAAGATGCAAAGAATAAGCCCAGCAACTACAAGTAATTCCCAATGTATGTCCTCTAAGCTGTACGGCTGCACAGCTGCTTAGAGATTCCTTGCACAGGTGTCCCAGTGCCACTCCCAAAACAGACTACTGGTTTCAGAAGCCGCTGCCATACATGGCACTCTGAGGTCCTTGCAGCAAAAAAAACATTAGAGGGAATGTTGGTCAATTCCCTTAACATTGTTGGCAAAAGCTTTAGAAATAATCTGGGTTTAGAGAAATAAATTTTTGATAGCTTTCTGTAATTAAGAACAAGTCGTGTTTAATTTGATTGTTACTTCATCAAAAAAAAGATTGATGAAGGTAATGTGGTTGATGTGGTCCACACGGACTTCCAAAAAATGTTTGAGCAAATGTCAAATAACATGCATGATAGCAAAGCTGAAGCCTATTGAAGGAAATTGTTGATGTGAAAAATAAGTTGGCTTATGACAGGAAACAGCGATCATTGGTTAATAGTTGGTTTAGACTGGTTGAAGGTATACTGTGCTTAGTGATAAGACCATAACTTTTCTTAACCTGTATTCATGACCTAGGTCTTTGTGTGGCACATTTTCAAAATATGAAAATGACACCAATTTTGAAGCATTGTAAACTATGAAGAGGATAGTGACAGACTGTAAAGGAGCATAGACCACAGTATTAGAATAGGTAGATAGGTGGCAGTTGAAATTTAATGCAGATATACAAAGTGACAAGTTTTGGTTGGAAGACAAGGAGAAATAATATAGAGAATACAATTCTCAAAAGGAGGCGTACCTAAGGTCGAGGAGGATGGGAACTGACAAAGCCCTTGAAGTATACAAGGAATGTAGGAAAGACCTTAAACAAGGAATTATAGGGGCTAAAATGGGGTCATGAAAAGTCGTTAGCAAAACAGGATTAAAGGACAATCACAAGGCTTTTCACACATATATAAAAAGCAAGAGGGTAGCCACGGGAAGGTTTGGCCCACTCAAGGACGAAGGAGGGAATCTGTTTGTGGATCCACAAGAGGTAGGTGAGGTCCTAAATGAAAGCTTTGCGTTGGTATTCACCAAAGAAATGGAACTGGTGGAGGATGACCTCAGGGAAGGGAGTGTTGAATTTCTAAGCCAAGTTGCTATTGAGAAGGAAGAGCTGTTGTGCATCTTAGAAAGTATAAAGGTAGATAAGTCCCCGGGTCCTGATGAGACCTATCCCAGAATATTGAGGGAGGCAAGAGAACAAATTGCTGGATCACCACTGGGTGAGGTCCCAGAGGTCTGGAGAATGGCCAATGTTGTCCCATTGTTTAAGAAGGGTAGCAGGGATAATCCTGGAAATAACAGGCCTGTGAGCCTCACGTCAGTGGTAGGGAAATTATTGGAAAAGGTTCGCAGCGATGAGATCTGCAAGCATTTAGAAGCAAATGGACTGATTAGCGATAGACAGCATGGTTTTGTGTGGAGGTCATGCCTCACTAACTTGATTGAGTTTTTTGAGGTGATGAAGATGATTGATGAGGGAAAAGCAGTTGATATTGTCTATACAGACTTCAGTAAAGCCTCTGACAAGGTCCGTCATGGCAGACTGGTGCAAAAGGTAAAGTCACAAGGTGAAGTCACATGGTGTCGGAGTGAGCTGGCAAGATGGATACGAACTGGCTTAGTCATAGGAGACAGAGGGTAGCGGTGGAAAGATGCTTTTTGGAATGGAGGATTGTGACTAATGGTGTTCCACAGGGATCAGTGCTGGGACCTCTGCTGTTTGTGACGTACACAAATAGCTTGGAGGAAAACGTAGCTGGTCTAATTAGTAAGTTTGCAGAATATACAATGGTTGGAAGAGTTGCAGATAGTGAGGAGGATTATCAGAGGATACAGCAGAATATAGATTAGTTGGAGGCATGGGCAAAAAAATGGCAGATGGAGTTTAATCTGGACAAGTGTGAGATGATGCATTTTGGAAGGTCAAGTACATGTGGAAATTACACAGTGAATATCAGAACCCTTAGGAATATTGATATGCAGAGGGATCTGGTGCGCAGGTCCACAGATCACTGAAGGCAGCAGCGCGGTAGATAAGGTAGTAAAAAAGGCCTATGGTACGCTTACCTTCATTGGAAGGGACACTAAGTATAACATAGGCAAGTTACGCTGCAGCTTCATAAAACTTTTAGTCAGGCTGAACTTGGAATATTGCCTACAGTTTTGGTCACCACACTACCAGAAGGATGTGGTTACTTTGGAGAGAGTAGAAAAAAAAATTTAACAAGATGTTGCCCGGTATGCGGGATTTTAGCTGTGAAGAAAGGTCAGATAGACTGGGGCTTGTTTTCACCGGAATGCAGAAGGTTGAGGAGTGACCTGATAGAAGTTTATCAGATTGTGAATGGCATGGAGAGAGTGGAAAATATGAGGCTTTTTCCCAGGGTGAAGGGGTCAATTACTAAGGGACATAGGTTTGAGGTATTGCGCGTCCGCGTGTGTGTGTGTGTGTGTGTGTGTAGGGAGGGGGGGAGGTTTAAGAGATGTGCAAGGCAAGTTTTTCACACAAAGGCTGGTGAGTGCTTGGAACATGCTGCCAGAGTTGGTGATGGAAGCAGACAGAATAGCAGCATTCCAGAAGCACCAGGACGAATACATGAATAGGACGGAAAGAGTAAGTGAAGACAGTTTTCTTATAGAATGACAAAATGCGTCGGCATAGGCTTGGAGGGGCAAAGGGCCTGTTCCTGTGTTGTATTGTTCTTTGTTCTCAAAAGGAGCAACTTTGACACGTGACATGACTGGAGAGGGTACAGAAAATACACACAAAAATGGCTCTGGGAATGCAACACCAGCTACGGAGATAGACTGGTGAAACTAGGGCTGTTCTCATTAGAGGAGAAGGTCGAGAGAAATAATTGAAGAGAATACCGGAGAAACTCAGCAGGTCTGATAGCGTCAGATTCTGAAGAAGTCAAACCAGATTTAAAACAAACTGTTTCTCTCTCCACAGATACTGCCAGACTTGCTGATTTTCTCCAGGATTCTCTAGGCTTGTTTCAGATTTCCAGCACCTGCAGTATATTGCTTTTATTTAAAGTTTATAGAAGATTTCACAGAGTTATTCAAAGTCCTAAGAATTCCAGGAAGAATAAATAGAGAAAAGTGTTCACGTTGGTGGAAGGTTCAAGAACAGGAAAATTTAAGTTTACTAGCAAAGGACTAGAGAGGCATAAAGAAAAAGCTTTTAATGTGAGTGCTAAGAAATCTGGAATGTATTCCTGATGGTATCGTGGAAGCAGATTTAATAGTGGTTTTCGAAAGGAAAGTGGATAATTATCAAAGAAGAAACATACAGGGTTATGGGGAAAAGCCCAAGGAGTGGAATTTGTTGAGTAGCTCTGAGTCAGCATGGCTATAACAGGCCAAGTGGCTTTTCTGTGACGTATGTATTCCATGATTCTCTAAATACATCACTATTCCAGCTTAGGTCACTAAGGAATGATAACATGCAGGTAGATACAAGGTACTGAGAGTCTGATCAACTGTTTAGAAACTTCATTTGATACTTTTTACAGACTCAGCACATCCTCAAATACTTTACAGCCAACTGAAGTGTAATCACTATTGTAATAAAGGTAGCAGGTAATTTGTATGAGCAGGATCTCTCAGACATGTGATAGTGACCAGAAATGTTAGTTGTGGAATATTGTTTTTGCATAACTGAGGGAAAAGATGGGATTTAATGTACCTCTGACAGTGCAGCAACTTGCCAGTACTCATAAAACAGTGTTGGCCTAGATTTTGTTCTCAATACTGTAGAACGGAGCTTGCATTCCTTTATTTTTTGAATCAGGGATCAAAGTGGCACCACTGAATTATGGATGGCACCAGTGAGCTGGATTGGAGGGTCTCAGAGGTCTTCACTGTCCTTTGTCATCTGCATTATACTAATTGGATATTTCAGAATTACTGTGACATTTAATTACATAGAAAACACATTTGTGAAGATACTGGTGAATGTTTGAAAGTACCTACTTAGGCTAAGGGTCGGTTGAAAGTTTGGCAGGATACCCAATCTCTAGGTTTTTCCAATTTTTTAAGTTTTGTTTCAGTTCATTTCAGGCAAACTGCAATTGGAAAGTTATTTTGTTTGGAGGGATACTAACAGGATCACCAACAGATATTTTAGGTAATGAATGAACCCAGAGTTGCAGGTGAAGGACTTTCCATCAGCAGTATAATTCATTTGTCCACATTATTTTTACTTTTGAGGTGGGTGGCAGAGTGTGCTGGGAGTGGGTATGGGGCAATACTATTCCAGAACCATTAAGCTTTCCCATCACATGGTATAACAATAACTTTGAGGTGTATTGCATCCCACCTTAACAAGAAGTTCCCCATTTTAAAAAAATTCTTTCATGGCATGTAAGCATCATTGGCAAGGCCAGCATTTGTTGCTCATCACCAAATATGTACTTTAGGGCACAACTCCATTTCACCACCCATAAACCCTGCCCTTCATTAGCAACATGTTATTTGGCAAAGCTGCCTCATCTGTTACTTATCCTAATGGTCAGATATTAGAAGGAGCACTGAGGTAGCACTGCAACGTCCTGACCCAAATAAAAACTAAACAAAAAACTGTGCAACAGCCCCTTTACAAAACCCACCTCATTTCAAGTACATACAACGTATTTTTACACTTTATCACATCATTTCATTGTTTCTTTCATACCGTGCATCCAGTTTCTAATAACAGAATTTAATCTTAGAGATGGGAGTTCTGAAAACTAACAGGTTTGCTATTAATGTTCTTACCATTGCAGCCATAAACATAATAAAAACAGTTCCAAACAATGATCCTTTTGACTATCATGTAGACATGAGAATGGTATCAAATTTTGCATAAGGTATGTGTTCATCTAAAGATGTCTCAGCAATGATCTAAAAAGTTTTTTTTTACATTATGGATCACATTGTCCTTGAAGAGGAATCCAAGCTTTCTACCCTCCCAGTTTTATAAAGTACCCAGAATGAACAGCAGTCTGTTTAGGAATGAGATGCCACTTTGAACTTCCTTCTCTTTCGTCTTTATATTGGTTGCATCAGTTGAAATACATCTAAACTTCTGTTGTTCCAAAGAAGAGTTCAAGTCTTTTTTATGTCAGCAACTATCTAAACCTCCTTGCCAGCATTAATGACAGTAGATGAAACTGCAATTAACAAGACCTATTATCTATTTTGCTGCCATTGACCTAATGTAACAACTGCCAGTAAACAAACTCCCTCTTGTAAATGCTCTGTAAACGGCATTTCCCATCTTCTGTTAAACAGTTTGCCTCCTTTGCTTTGCCTTGGAAAGGAGGTTACATTTAGGCACTTGTGCAGTCTTCCTCAATGACCCGGTTCATGCTGGTACCATGCGTAATATGAGTTGCTGGGTTGGTCAGGTCCCTGATACTGCTTTGGCGGGACTGGTCATTCAGGCGGTGCTGGCTGCTTTGCCGGGACTGGTCATTGAGCCTTGGCAGACTACCATGCACCAACCGTTCATCCAAACCTCTGAAGCTGCATGGTGTATATCTGATAAAAAAAAATGGGCGAGGTTCCAATTAACCATCACATAGATAGTGGGTTACTGCAAAAGTTTATAAAACATTGTGGGCTAAAAAGGGCGGGGTGGGGGGGTGGTGGTGGGTGGTGGCTGGTGGTGGAATGGGGCTTCAGAACAGCAAAGTTGATTGAGTTTTGAGAGTACCATAAAACAATGTTTCAGTGAGTCTTCTGTTTGAGCATTGATGGTGGAGACAGAAATCTGGTTTATTGGACCCCACTGACTGCTAATGAAAAGTGGGGATCCTAACCTGAATGGATATTCTCCCTGCACATCAAAAACACTGCACCTCCCCCACACTTCAGTTTTTGCAGTTTACAAATGTTTACATCTAAAATGTGGTGTAATGTTAATTAGAAGCCTCCAAATAAACTTTGCACTCTCTCTTGCCTGCTGCTTTGGCAGGGTCCTGGGTATATGTTGTTTCTGGAAAATGTTTTAAGGAAAACAAACTGCATCCCGATATCCTAGTATAAACAGAATATGAAAAACTTAATTAATGTAGTCTTTTAATCTTTCTCCATTTGTGTCTTCTTATTGCCATATGAACACTGCAGGTCATTTCATCACTTGAGGCCTGCTAGGCTTTGCCCTCATGCAATGTCTGTACATGTACCATTCCAGCAGAAGCTGTGGACAGATATGGCACCCCTAGCAATGTCCAGTTGATGCAAGGGAAGGACCTTATTATTGATTTTATCCTTTGATCATGCTCCACTGCTCGATAAGATCATGGTTGATCTTTTATTTTAACTCCATCTTCCTTAATGCCCCTAGCAGCCAAAAATCTATTGGCATCTGTTTTGAATCTGTTCAACGGTGGAGCATCTGCAGCTTGCTGGGATAATGACTTTCAAGCATTCACTTTCCCTAGAAAAATCTTTTCTTATTGCAGTCTTAAATGGCCATTCTTTATTCTAAGAATGAATGCTATAGATTCTTCAATCTCAACATCTACTGATAATTTGTTTATTTCAATTAAAATTGCCTCTTATCTTTCAAGGCCTCCACAGGATATAAGCCTTATCTACTCAACCTATCCTCAAAGGCCAAGTGCAGCACTCCTCTCCAGGGTATGTTCTTCCTCAGAAGAAGAGACCAATATTGCACGCACTACTCCAGGTGTGCTCTCAGCAATACCCTGTATAATTGAAGTAAAACTCATTTATGTTTATACTTGAATTGCTTGGTTACAAAAGCTAGTAAATACACCATTTACTTTTCCACTTTCTTGCTGTCCCAGCAAGTTAACTTTCTACGCTTCATGTACAAGATCACACTAGCGACTCTGAATGTAAACATTTTCCAGTCTCTCATCATTCAAAATATTCCTTTTTAAACATTTTTGTTACCCAGTTGCATCTGCAATGTTCATGATCACTCACTCAACCTTTGTCCCTCTACAGTGTCTGTGCATCTCCATCACAACGTCTATTCCCACATAACATTATATTATCAGAAAATATACATGAGAGGACTGAGTAATATATCAAAGTCACTAACAAAGATTTCAATCAGCTCAGAAGTACTGCTCTTTGTGGTTCACCACTGGTTACAGCCTGACAACCCAAAAATGTCCAGTTTATTCTTTGTTTTCTGCTCCTTAATTAATCCTCAAACCATGTTCATATTATTGCCTTAATCCTATGGGTAATAACCTCTTCTGTGGTATTTACTGAATGCTGCTTTGAACATTCAACTGTAGGGTGTACATAGTACATTCCCTCTTATCCATCTTACAAGTTACTCCTCACACCACCACTGCATTTGCCAAACATGTTTTTAGTTTTATAAATTTGTATGACTCTACATAATTTTGCAATTTTCGAATTGTCACTATCATGTTCCTAATAATAGATTCTTGCAGTTTTTCTACTACTTGTGATAGGCCAACTGGCCTCTGTGTTCCCGTTCTCTCACTTCTCACACCAAACCTATGTTTAATACCACCCAGTCCTTGGGAACTGTTTGAATCCAAGGAATTCTGGAAGATCAAAACTAATATATTCATTAATGTTGCAGCTGTTTCTTTTAAGACCCTGGAATGTAGGTCATTAAGACCAGGGATCTGTTGCCAATTAGTTCCCTTAAACCATTATTTTTTCACTTCTATAACAGGTTTCTTTAACTTCCTCATTCTTGCTAAGCCTTCAGTTCTCCATTACTTTCAGAATGTTCTTGGGCATTCTGATGCGAAGGCAGATACAAAGACATTAAACAAACTGCTTTGGCATTTCCTTATTCTTCATCATAATTTCATCTCCATCTGTCTCTAGTGACTTGTTTACATACCTACAGGGACATTTGCAATCTGATTTTATGTCACTTGCTAGTGTCCTCTCATACTCCCTTTACTATTCCCTGCTTGATTTATTTGTTACTGAATTCCAAAATCCTCCCACTACTTGAGTTTACCACTCTTTTCACAACTAAGTTCTTTGTTTGATCTAATACCATCTTTTAACTTCACATTAGACATGATTAGGCAGGTTTCTGGGTTTTTTTGGTGCCTAAAAGGATTGCAAATTTAATTCAAACAATTGTTGCCTGGGGGAGGGGGAACAGCTAGAGGTCCTACTCCAGATTGGGACCAATAACGTGATTATGAAGGGGATGTGATCCTGCAATTAAGGAGCCAGGCAGAAAATTAGCAAACTGCAACTCAAAAGTATTAATCTCTGGATTACTCCCAGTGCCATGCATCTACAAGTGGAAGAAGAGAGAGGAATATTTGGCTGGAAAGATGGTGCTGCAGGGAGGGGTTTAGACAGCTGATAAAATGAGATTGATTCTGGGTACCTGTACAAGCTGAATAGATTACACATGAAAAGTGAGCACTGAGCTCCATGCAGGCTGTTTAGCAAGTGTTTGGGGTTGGAAGAAGAGATGTGAAGAACTCATTCAGAGAGGACATGGGCCTAATGGCCGCCTGCACAGTGACAATTCTGTGATTTCAATATCCTTTTCCATCAACATCTTAAAAACAGATGCAGTCACCAGTTTAGCAGCTTGTATGTCACTAAAATTTAAAAACAGGAATAAAAGTAATTAACAGTGGCCCTTGAACATTTCATTATGTTTTGCCACTACTGAATTTGAAATTGAAATGTGACAAATTAAGCTGATAATTCAGAATATTCAGTTCTTCAACACAGTGTGTTGGTATCATTTCAAGGAAAGGCTCCTGAAGGGAAATGCGGAAACTGATGCTTGTACTATACTATTGATTCACAATAAAATCTTTGTTAATCTCAACGTCATTTGTTGCCTAATTAGATGTACGGATGGCATTGTATTAAACATTTACTATATATTTTTACATATGATTTACAGCACAGAAACAGGCTAGTTCGTCCATGCCACTACATCTGTTCTACATGAACCTGTTCCCACCCTGCTACATCTACTCCTCTGGACATATCCCTCTACACTTTATTCCTTCATATGCTTATCCAATTCCTTTTCGATACATCTTATGCTAGCCATTTAAACTACTCCATGCACTACACATTCTCACCACTCTTTGGCTGAAGAAGTTCCTCTTGTATTTGTTTACTGGATTTTAGTGACTATATCACAGATATGGCTCCTAGAACTGGTCTCATCAAATGAAAACATACTTTATATGTCTACACTATCAAGCCTGTTCACAATTTTAAAGGCCTCCAGAAAATCATCCTTCAGTCTTCTCTTCTCCAGGAAGATGAGCCCTACTCTGTTCAGATCTTTCCAGTAACTCTCAGTTTTGGTCATTTCCATTTGCAAATTGTCAGTTACCCTGCATCTTTCTTGCACCCACATATTAGGGTTAAGAAATGGTTACTCCTCAAGATGTGGTCACTCACTGTGAAAGAATACTAACAGTTAAGCAACACTGCTTAGTTCAAATTTACACCCATGCATTTAGGAAGACTTCATAGAATCATAGAATCCCTACTTTGTAGAAAGGGGCCATTCTGTTCATTGAGTCTGCACTGACCCTCCAAAGAGATTCCCACCCTGACCCATACCATCGCCCAAACCCCTTAATGTTACATGGAGTTTTTACCATGGCTAACCTACACATACCTTGATACTACAGGGCAATTTTTAGCATGGCCTATTCACCTAACCAGTACATTTTTAGACTGTGACAGGAAACCAGAGCACCCAGAGGAAATCCACGTGTCTTCACACAGACAGCTGCCCAAGGTTGGAATCAAACACAGTTTCCTGGCGCTAAGGGGCAGCAGTGCAAACTACTGTGCCAACATGCCACCCCCTTCTGTTCCTCATACCACATTAGTACCGAGCTAGGACAACCTGACTGAACAGTGCAGTTGTCTATCTGATGCTTTCATTTTAAAAAAGTCTCTTTAATATGCAATTTGTATTTCTGCAATGGCTCCACTCACCTGCCATCTCTTGATCTGTGCAGGCTGCCGTGGTAACTGCTGGGTTTACTGTGGACACTGCCAGCCTTGCTCCTTTGGTCATCCATGATGGCAAGTTGCTGTGAGGAGGCATGAGTGGAGGTTCCTTGTGTAGAGGTGCCTCGGGATTTGCGGATGATTGGGGTGTTGGGGTCTCTCAACAGTGACTGAGCAAACTCGGGTTCCTGCAGTACTTGGCGACTCTCATTTACAGAACTGAAAAGGGAAAGGCAGGAGATATGGGTCAATTATAGAATCCAGTTGAAGTTAAAAGCTTAGGCAAACTATTAGGTTTCAGTTATCTCCCATCTCTAAAAAGAAATTTTATTATTGATTAGTTTCTGACTACCAGCCCCAGCTTTTAAAATGTGTCAAAATTTAGGTATTTTAGCCATGGAAAGGGTGCAGTGCAGATTTTTCAGAACAAGGGAGCCTCATCTTGAAACTACAGCCACGTCATTCAAAAATATCAATCAGGAGCATTTAATTCCTCACAAAAACAATAATGAAAATTTGGAATTTTCACCAACAATAAGCTATGGATGTTGGGTGACAATTCGAATATTCAGGACTGACAGACTTTCGGGAGGCAAGGTACCAAGGGATGTGCAAATGGAGTTAAGATGCAGATCAGTCATGATCTGACTGATCTGCTAGAACAATGGAACATGCTCAAGGGCAGAATGGTCTCCTCTGAAGAGATCCCCAGGGAAGGAACTTACTTCTCAATGCATGCTAAGAAGTGCAGATACTTTCTGAATAAACTTAGTGTAATAAGTTCCATGACGTGGAGATGCCGGTGTTGGCTCGGGTGGACAAGGTCAGAAGGCACACGACATCAGGTTATAGTCCAACAGGTTTATTTGAAATGACGAGCTTTCCAATTGCTGCTCCTTCGTCAGGTGAAGGAGCAATGCTCCAAAAGCTTGCGATTTCAAATAAACCTGGTGTCGAGTGACTTCTGACCTTAATAAGTTCCATGTATCTTTTTCAAATGAACAATGTCTACTGAACTTCTCACTACAACCCCAGCCACTGCCCATTAACTGCTAACCCGGAGAGATCTGGCGATCCAAAGCTGTGGGATCTTTTGGAACCCACTTACCCTAGGCAGCAACTGATTGGTTGTATTGGGAACACTAATTCACCGGACTCAGTGACCTTACACAAGATGAATTAAAATTTACAAAATTTCACTTGTTCATTCATCAGTACAGACAGAAACAAACAAATGGCTCATTAGGCACAAGTACAGAAAATGCTGGAAGTTGTGAGGTGACTGTTGAAAAAACACGGGTCAACGGAGCTACTATAATTCCAGTATGAGCTGTGGATCAGTGCCTAACATTCAGAAGGTCGTGAGCTAACAGCCCACATGTTACAAATATAAAGTTTGTTCCGGTTTGGGATTCTGTCATTAACTTAGGGTAAACCGGAGGAATGAAGGGGGGAATGTCACCCATTCTGAATTCCTTTTCACCATAAGCTTGGGTGACGTAAAGGCGAATGGGGTGCAAGAATTTTCCACTGGGAAGAAGGTACAAGGTTTTCACACCTGTGGATGATGGCAAGCGGACTTGTGATGACTGTGTGTAGACTGTTGGTCTCCAAGTCTCACAAGGAGGTGTTAAGAACTTTACATTTTATAACAAGTTATATCTGAAATGTCTATTAAATTCCGAGATAGAACAGACATTGGAAATCTGCAATGCTTTTCATTAGGGTTGGGCTTTCGGAAGGAAAAGTCAATAGAAAAATTTAGTTATTCAGAGTGCAGGTTTCTTAGGATATTCCTGAATCTCTCAGACAAGTCAGTTTGCAAGAACGTAAGGGAACAAGAGAGACAAAAAGAAACAGCCAGTTCTGCACATGAAGCAGAATAAGTGCTGTCTGATTACTCAGCAAGGAACTCATTCCCAGATAGAACAAACAGATTTGTGAGGATTTAAATGAGGAAGATTCACTTTGCTTTGGAAAGGAAGGTAACGCCAAAGTGACCCTCACTATGAAGATGAACACAGAGGTTAGACATTACACAACTGGGAAATGAAAAGGAAATATGCTGACTGAAATGAAAAATAACCTTGGATTAGTTCCTGCAGAATAAAATGTTCACTTAAAGGACAGAGGAAGATAGATTTGTGGTAGGGATTTTTGATCACAAGTCACATGGGGAACCTTTTCTGTGGTTTAAAGTTGCCCACTAAAATGAGTTAATCAAGATTTTTAGCTTTGTTGTTGTGTGAGCCTTCCAGTCACTAGAAATTCAGATATCCTTTTAAGTTATTGGTCTGTATAGGCTTGTAATACACTGTAGACACTGGAGAGATAATAAAGATTGACATTTTTGTTGATTGCAGTACTGAGGGACCATTGCACTGTTGGAGGTGCTGCTTTTGGATTGAGATGTTACATTAAGGTCTGTCTGCCCTCTAGTTGGACACAAAATCTCCCAGTTCACACCCCTCCCCTACCTAAAGATACCAGGGACAGGGCAAGCAGTGGGAAAAGAGGGCACCATTAGGAATGCCAGGGCACATGCCCCAGGTGTACTCACTCTTTCTTCTTGCGTCCATGGAAGAAGCTAGCCCATTCAAAGCAGGTCTTCTTACTGCCGACCCAGAATACAGAAGGAATTCCAACAACCAGAGCCATCAGGTACTTCATAAGGAAGAGAATAAGATCAGGATGACTCACCTGGGTCACCTAATGAGAGACAAGGATAATTTAACAATACAGCATTTTAAAACCAACTCAATCCATTTCATTCTATAAGGCCCACACCTCAATGATTAGTTTACTTTCTTTCGATGGATCCTGATTGATAACACACTATCATTCTCTATTCTACTACATCATGTCAAATCCTGGCCTGTGATCTCGGCTGCATTATAAACAGTGCATTTACCCTTTAATTATAGGGTGCAATGTCCTCTATTCATTAACTTAATCAAAAATGCTTGAGTAAAAAGGTTTTATAAATGTTGTTAAAACTGGTGAAGGGCAAAGTACAATCTTGCCCAACTAAATGAAGGTTGGTCTGTATTAATTACATTTATTAATGTATCAAATTCACTTGACACAGGCAATGGGAAAAATTAATAACCCTTCTAAACAATCTTCAATAACTTAAGACTTCAGGATTATATAGTAACAGTAATTTGTCTCCACAGAACCACAGAGGATCTGGTTTCAGGCTTCTCTTCTAGCAGTCAATAGCAGTGGTTACTTTCAGCATAAAGTTACTGAAAGAGAACTCATTATCAGTTACCTCATGGTGCTGTCTGAAGAATATTCACTCAAAACTAGATCCGACAAAATACCAAATCATATTGTAAAATCAATGTCTTGGACTGTTCCATCACCATTCCAGGGTATATCATGTTTCACCAGCAGGATAAACCTCCCAAAACGTGGATGTATGGTTTGTAGTCTGAATGGTGTGGTCCCAAAAATCCTGACAATGGACTCCTAACAGTCAAATGGCATCAGGTCAAAATGGGCAAGGGAAAGGTCTATGATTACCACTTACACCCAAGCTCTACACTGGAAGCCATTTGGAAAAAGCACAGAGAATAGCAAGAACCAGAGAATGTGCTATGGGTGGGGGAGTTCTGTGGTCCGTGACCAACAATAGTTTAATAGCTCCACTACTGAACAAGCTGACATAGTCCTGTATGATAGTTGCCAAACTGGGTGTGTAACAGGTGCTGCAAGGAACTAAATGAGGGAAAAATATACCTGACTACTGATTTGCCTGTTGTAGATGAATCTGTCCATGATAATACTGAAAAGTGTGACCAATACATAATCCTTGGGGTGACCCATATATAGGTATATTGTGGGGTCAATTAGCTCAACTGTAGTGCAGAAGAGTATACCAATAGCAATGGGTTCGATTCCCACTCTGATTGAAACAGATTTAGGCCCTGCTTCCTCATCCTGTCCTTTAATAAATTCATAGCATTAGCCATGATTTAACAAGCCTTGAATAATCAAAGATGCTATCTTGAGAAATATATGCTACATCAAAACACTATCACTTCCAGGTTTCCTTCAAGTCACATATCAGCCTGACTTGAAGATACATCACTGCTCATTCATCATTACTCAGAGTCATAGAGACATGCAGCATGGAAACAAACCCTTTGGTCCAACTTGTCCATGCCGACAAAGTTTCCCAAACTAAACTAGTCACATTTGCCTGTGTTAGGCTCATATCCATCTGAACCTTTTCTATTCTCCTATTTCCAAATGTCTTTTAAATCGTCTAACTGTATCTACCACTTCCCCTGGCAGTTCATTCCACGTATGAATCACCCTCTGTGTGAAAACACTGCCCCTCAGTCCCTTTTAAATCTATCCCCTCTCACCTAAAACCTATGACCCTAGTTATGAACTCCCCTACCTGAGGGAAAAGACCTTTGCCATTCACCTTATCTGTTCTTCTCATGATTTTGAAAACCTCTATAAGGTCACCCCTCAACTTCCTCTGCTCCAGTGAGAAAAGTCCAAGGTTATCCAGCCTCTCCTTATAATTCAAACATTCCAGTCCCAGTAACATCCTTTTAAATCTTTTCTGCACCCTGTCCAATTTAATGATATTCTTCTGATAGGACAGTAACTAGAACTGTACACAGTACTCCAAAAGTGGCCTCACTAATGTCCTGTACAATTGCAACATGATGTCCTAACTCCTATAACTCAATGGTCTGAATGAAGGCAAGTATGCCAAACGCCTTCTTCATCACCCTGTCTATCTCTGACGCAACTTCTAAAGAACTATGTACCTGAATCCCTCGGTCACTTTATTCAAAACCACTTCCCAGTGTCCTACATTAACTGTGTAAGTCTTGCCCTTGTTCATCTTACCAAAATGCAAAACCCCTTGCATTCATTTAAATTAAACTCAATCTACCACTGGCCCGACTGATCAAGATCCCTTTGTAATCTTAGATAACCTTCTTCACTGTCCATTATACCACCAATTTTGGTGTTATCCACAAACTTACTAACCATGCTTCCTAAATTTTCATCAGAATAGTTTTATATAAATGACAAACAGTGGACCCAACATCGATCCCTCTGGCACACCACTGGTCACAGGCCACCTGTCCAAAAGACAACCCTCTGCACCACACGCTTCAAAATCTCCCCTCCCCCTACCGCATCCCAAAACCAGTCCAGCTCGTCCCCGCCTCCCTAACCTGTTCTTCCTCCCACCTATCCCCTCCTCCCACCTCAAGCCGCACCCCCATCTCCTACCGACTAATCTCATCCCGCCCCCTTGACCTGTCCGTCCTCCCTAGACTGACCTATCCCCTCCCTAACTCCCCACCTACACTCACCTTTACTGGCTCCATCCCCACCTCTTCGACCTGTTTGTTTCCTCTCCACCTATCCTCTCCTCTATCCATCTTCTATCCGCCTCCCACTCTCTCACTATTTATTTCAGAACCCCCTTCCCCTCCCCCTTTTCTGATGAAGGGTCTAGGCCCGAAACGTCAGCCTTTCTGCTCCTATGATGCTGCTTGGCCTGCTGTGTTCATCCAGCCCTGCACCTTGTTGCCTCTGCACCACTCTCTGTCTCACACCATCAAGCCAATTTTGTACCCAACTGGCAAGCTCTCCCTGAATCCCATGTGATCTAACTTTACTAACCAGTCTACCTTGCAGAACCTTGTCAAAGGTTTTCCTGAAGTCCGAGCAGACGTCGTCTACCACTCTGCCCTCATCTATCTTCTTGGTCACATCTTCAAAAAAACTCAAGCAAGTTTCTGAGACATAATTTCCCACGCACAAAACCATGCTGACTATGCCTAATCAGTCCTGGCCTCTCCAAGGACATGTAAATTCTGTCTCTCAGAATCCCCTCCAACCCACCAGTGACGTCAGACTCACCAGTCTTTGGTTCCAGGCTTCTCCTCGCAGCCTCTCTTAAATAAAGGAACAACATTAGCCACTCACTAGTCTTCCGGCACCTCACCCCTGTAGATTATACAAATATCTGTGCTAGGGGCCCCGCAATTTCTTCCCCAGCTTCCCACAATGTCCTGGGATACATTCAATCACGTCCTGGAGATTTATCCACCTTTTTTGTTTTAAGACTTCCAGCATCTCCTCTTCTGTCATATGGGCTGTTTTCAAAACAGCAATATTTATCTCCCCGGTTCCCTAGCTTCCATGTCTTTCTCCACAGTAAATACTGACTCGAAATATTTGTTTAGTATCTCTCTCATGTCCTGTGGTTCCACACGTAGACAACCTCGTTGATTTTTAGGGGCTCCTATTCTCTCCCTGTTTGCTCTTTTGCTGTTAATGTACTTGTAGAATGTCTGAATTATTCTTAGCCTTATCTGCCAAGGCTATTTCATATCCCCTTTTTGCCCTCCTGATTTCCCTCTTAAGAATGCCCCCACTTCCCTCATACTCTTAAAGAGATTCATTTGATCGCAGTTGTCTGTACCTGACATGCCTCCTTCTTATTCTTGACCAGAGCCTTAATATCTTTATTCGTCCATTGTTCCCTATTCCTACCAGCCTCACCCTTCATTCTAACAGGAACATACTGCCTCTGAACTCTCGTTATCTCACTTTCGAAAGCCTCCCATTTACCAGTTATCCCATTACCTGTGAACAAGTCTACCCCAAACAACTTTTGAAAGTTCCTGTCTCATACCGTTAAAATTAGCCTTGCTCTAAATTAGAACTTTAACTTTTATACAAAGCTTTTCCTTTTCCATAACTATTTTACAACTAACAGAATTATGATCATTTGTCCCAAAGTGCTCCCCAACTAATACTTCAGTAACTTGCCCCACCTTATCTCCCAAGAGAAGGTCAAGTTTTGCTCCTTCTCTAGTATGTACATCTGCATATTGATAAAAGAACTTTTCTTGAACACATCGGACAAATTCCTCCCTGTCCAAGCCCTTAATAACATCCTTTACTCCCACAACCAATAGAACAAATCAATGATCTACAACTGTCACATTTAATCATGAAATGATAGTGGGCAATTAAACTAGCCAGAGGAGGCAGATCCAAAATCTTCCCTTCCTTCAATGGATGGGGAAGCCCTGCACATCAATACAAAAGACAAAACTGAAACGTTTATCATCATTTGCAACAGAAGTGCCAAGTGGATGAACTATACACCACAAGATACAAGAGCAGAAGTAGCCCATTGGCCTTTCAAGTCTGCTCTGTCATTTAATTATATCATTGCTGAGCTTAAAATGCTCAATTCCATTTTCCTGCCCTTTCCCTGTAACCGTTGATTCCATTAACTAATTAACAATCTCAACCTTGAACATACTTAATAACCTTTGTGACAGCCTTCTGCAGCAAAGAATTCCACAGATTCATTACCCGAGAAAACATTCTTCCTTATGTGTCTTAAAATGGGCAACCGTTTGGGAGATTTCTTTTTGTGCCAAAGTGCATAACTCACATTTTCCCAATTATATTCCATCTGTCAAGTGTTCGCCTTCTCTCAACACAGGTCTATATGCCTTTCTAGCTGAAGGACTTAAAACATGTGCTCCAGAACTAGCCACACCCTCACACAAGGCATGAGCTCCAGTAAGCTCCAATACTGGAACCTCCTTAATAATATGAACAATTACCAAGGAATCTCTCATCTACAAAAAGGATAAACCTAATCTGGATAATTACCCTCCAGCTTGTCCTTAATCATTGGCAAA